GAGAGAGAGAGGAGAGAGAGGGAGAGTGAGTGTGTGTGTGTATGTTTTTCCATAGGTTCCTAGAGCTAGAACCAGATGAGGCCCTAAAGATCATCTATTCCATGGGGCAGCTAGGTGGCACAGTGGATAGAGCTCTGGCCTTGGAGTCAGGAGGACCTGAGTTCAAATACGGCCTCAGATGCTTGACACTTACTAGCTGTGTGACCCTGGGCAAGGCACTTAACCCTGACAGCCTCACCAAAAGGCAAAAAAGAAAAAAAAGATCATCTAGTCCAATCTCTAACCCCTCCCCATTTTACAGATGAGGAAACTGAGGCCTGTAAAATTGAAATGCCTTGTCTAGGCCACATGAAAACCAGGATTTACCCTTAACTTGGTGACCCTCTTCCTCCTGTGCTTTCCCAAGTCAGCCAGTAGGTCCACAAGTATTCATTAAGCACTTATCACATGTGTCAAGACTGTGCTAAGTGATGGGGATATCAGGAAGGACAAACTCATAGTCCGTGCCCTCTAATGGGGAAGACAGCTTGTCAATAACTACATACGACCAGATAAAGACAGAGCACAGCCAGGTCTCGCTTTACGTAAATTCGCATTATGTGTATTTGACTTTGCTTAAAGAATTCTGAAAGGCTAGATGAGGAGAATGTGGCTTGTTATTGTTATTGTGCAGCCAGACCTCGTGAGAAGGGCTGGGTGCAGGGTGTGTGTGTGTGTGTGTGTGTGTGTGTGTGTGTGAGAGAGAGAGAGAGAGAGGGAGAGTGAGTGTGTATGTGTGTGTGTGTGTGTGTGTGTGTGTGTGTGTGTGTGTGTCTGACTGCACGCCTAGGCTGCCCTGGCTGGACAGCACTGATCACTCTTGACCATTAAGCTGACCTTTGGTTTTCTAATTCTATTATCATGGGACGGTATTGCATATGTCTGCACTGATGACTTGTGTAAAGGTATTAATTTAGTGTGTGCCTTTGTTATAGAGGCTAAGTGAAGTGGGTGACCAGGGGTAAATTCACATCACGTACAAATTGTCAACTTGAGTAAAGAGAGAGTTGTTTGTGGATGGAAGATGAACTCAGAATTCAGGAGGGCATTAGAGATGGGGGGCTGGGAAAGGCCTCAGAATTCAGGGAGGGTCTGGGGGGTGGGGCTGGGAAAGGCCTCTTGAGGAAGGTGGAATTTTGGCTGAGACCTGAAAGACGCTCAGGACACAAAGGTGAGGAGTGAGAGTGTTTGGTTCTTTCCTCTGGCCCTTTTTTGCCAATGAGTTTGTGGAACTGTGGGGACCACAGGCACCCACTAAACTCACTCATGTTCTCCCATCGGGAAGCTCAGGCCTGTTTCTTGGCGCCCCAGCTTGAAAGCTTTCACCACGTCCTACAACTTTCCTGGCTTCTCCCTTCTCTATTCTCCTAGGGATCATCTCTGCTTCTTCATTCTACCCAGGCCACTATCATTTCCAATAAGACGTCACAGGCAGACGGGAAAATCCTCAGACTCCTCCTCCCCAGGGGCATCAGACCACAGAGCATCTTTTCCCAAAGCATGTTCACCCAAGCTACTCCCTGAGGACCCTTGGCAGATGGGAATATGTTTGTTCAGGGATTCTACCATCTGCTTTTGTGGGAGCAGCTGTGAGGGAGTCCTCTAGGGGGGCCTCACTGCCTAATCGACTTGGGGACTGGAGTGGCCACAGCTAGGGCTGAAGACCAATTCCGAGGCCCAGCATGGGGCCTAGACCAGAGCAGGCATGCAGCATTTACAAAAGATTGCCCAGTATGCTCTGGGGGTTGGGGAGCTGGCACTGCTGAGAGATCGCCCCCATCTCCTCCTCCTCCTCCTCCTCTCCCCCCACCCCCATCTGGGGCTAGACACTCAATGTGGAGGTAGCAGAAGAAGGGCCTTTTGTCTAGTGGAAAGGAGGGAGCCTGTCCCCCTGGCCTTACTCCTTAGGCATGGATGAGTCGGGCACTGGGGCTAAGAGGGGAATCAGTGCCCCAGCCTACCTGCAGGGGGCCCTGGTCCCCTTGCTTCTGGCTCTGGCTGAGCCCCAAGGAAGAGGGAGGCCAGACTACCAGGGGGAGGCTGGTGGCGGGGGGGTGGCCGCCTAACGTTCCTTCAGCGTGTGGCCCAGACGCCCAAACAGAGCTCTGCTGTCTGTAGTCCAGACGGACAGATGACGGCCCGGGGCAGGTGTCAGAGCCAGTCCGGACAGGGGTGGCCACTGACTTTGATGTATTGACTTCCATTTCCAGAGCTATTAGTTGGGCTGGCATGGATGGGTCAGCCACAGGAGCATGCTGGGAAGCCACAAATACATACGCTCACATTCACCCAGGCTTTTTTACAAACTTGTGTTTGTACTCTCAGTGTTTAGCACTGTACCTGGCACATAGTAGGTGCTTAATAAATGCTTGTTGATTGATTGCCGTACATGTGCACGCAGGCCCCGGAAATGCTCTCTGCACCCCACCCCCATCCCAGCCTGGGCTCCCATAGGTGATGTGGCATCTCCAGGACATGGGCAGCCTGTCGTAGTAGGCTTAGACTCAGGAGACTTGGACCTTGCTCTGTCCCTTCCTGATTGTGTGACCTTGAACAAGTCCCTTTATGTCTTGGAGCCTCAGGGCTCCAAGTTCTCACGTGTCAAGGCAGATCAGAATTCTTGTGCCCGGGATGTTGTCCCAAGGATATTAGGAAAATCAGATAAGGTCGGATGGGGATAAGGTCTTGGGAAAGCAGCCCCCAAAGCGGGGCAGCTGGAGCCATCCTGGTTCCTTAGGGGAGAAGATGGAGTCTTTTATAGGGGCCTCAGTTTCCTTCTCTGTGCCATGTGGTCCCTCCAGCTCTGACATTCTAGGATCAAAAGGCCTTTCTTCTAGCTCTAATATCATACGGTTTTCTCTGCAGGTTGTGTGTTCATGAAGGTCTCTGGCGGGGTGGCTGACGGCTTGGAGGAATTCCAGCCCGCCTTCCCTTGGACAGGGCAGGGAGAGGGAGGAGGAGGGAGAAGGGAGAGCTGGGGATGGGGAGCAGTTGTGCTGGGCTCACACAGAGCTCCTCTTGGGATTCTTACCATTCTTCACCTGGATGGCGGAGCCTTGGCCTTGGAGATGCACCACAGCTGGCTGCAGGGGAGAGAAGGGTGGAGAGCAGGCACTGAGAGCTGATGGGCTGGCCTTCTGCACTTTCACCCCAGCCCCCTCCCCCTGACCCAGAGGGAGGCCAAGGAGATGCTGACATGGGAATCAGGAAGCTCAGGGAAAGAGGGGAAGGCCTCCTTCTCTACACATGGCCAGGGATTTGTCTCCACTTGGCCACAGATTGGGAAGAGAACTGCATTGTTGAAGCCCAGGAACTGTGGGGAAGGGCTGGAGGCCTTAGGATGGGGGTACCATGGCTGCTCCCACCTGCTGAAGAGCAAGGGAAGACATGCTGGTACACTCGAGGTGGGGCCTGGAGAAACAGGTTCTGTTCCTGTGACCTGGTCAGTGATAAAGCCCCCAAAGCTGCTGCTACCCACTGGGTGGCATGGTTGGCATGGCACATATGGCACTGGAGTCAGAAGACACTGGCAAGTGCCTTTCTATCTTTGAGCCCACTTCCTCATTGGGAAGGAAACATGAGGGAAAGGAGGGGGGGAAGGCACCAGCCCAGCAAGTGGCCAAGCCAGGAGCACCCCCAGTTTTTGCCCTCCTCTGACTCACCTGGATCTCTCGAGCGCCAGCCTTGTCGGTTGCACCTGTAAGAGAGTATCAGGGCTTCAGGCTGGTAGCATATGAGAGGTTGACCTGCTTGGGCCCTAGTGGGGGCATTGCCAGCCTGCCTTTCTTCTTCCAGAGATTGGATCCAGCTGCAGCTCCCTGGAGGGGAGGGCCAACTGGCCCTTCACTAAGGAGATAGGGCTGGAGCTGCCTGGGGGTGTGTGTGTATGGGTGTCTTCAGCCACCAGGGCCAGGAGTCTTAATGAGTCTCAATGGTCATACTTTGGTCAGTGTCTGAGACTTGACTCCTACTCTGTCACTTACTAGCTGGATGACTTTGGACAAGTCAGTGACCCTCTCCTGGGCCTCAGTTTCCGTGATCATAAAATGACAATGCTACTTGCCTTGACTACCATTACCTATCCCCGCTTCATGTTCATGGGGCTCAATTCCCAGGGCCCTCAAGATCCCATATTTAACAGACTTTGGGCTAGATGGGGAAGGCTGGGGAGAGAAGGCATTTCCAACCAGCCCAGCCTAGGGTCTCCCCTTAGCCTTCACTCACACTGGAGCCTCTTGGCCACCCCCTCACCCACCAGGGGAAGGGCCCAGGGGTTACAGGGTAGACAAGGCCTCAAGGGAGATCCTGTGGGGATTCTCGCTCCAAGGCCTGGCCTTGCTACTTCTCCAATGGGAAGGACTCTCGGTCCAAATCCCCACCCATCCCTGAACAGGTGTTCAACAAGAGTCAAGTGCTCTTGCTTCTGGGGGCTGGCCAAGAAGCTCAAATTCTCATGGACCAAAATGCTCTGGATACAGTTGCCAATATATCTTCCAGCTCTGCCACCCCCTGTTCTAAGGCCCCTCCCAGCTCTGCCATCCCCTGTTCTAAGACTCCTCCCAGTTCTGCCATCCCCTGTTGTAAAGCTCCTCCCAGGTATGACATTCCCTGTTCTAAGGCCCTTCCCAGCTCTGTCATCCCCTGTTCTAAGGCTCCTCCCAGGTATGACATTCCTTCTCCTGGGTTCTAAGATCCCTTGCAGCTTTATGTAGAAGTCATATCAGCATTTGGGACTCAAAAGCTGGGGGTCCATTTATCTACCGGGAAGCCCCTAGTAGCTGGTCATGTGGGCACACTGAAGACAGGGAGGCTTGTAATAGAGGGGCAAAAAGTAGAGGTGACAAGATGTGCCCTTTTAGCCCACAGGGTCAGGCAGCTGTTCTCCCCTCCCCCCAAAATACCCCAAGCTGACCAAAGGGCTAGATCCTCCTGCATCCCCACAAGTTGGGAGGTACTTACAAAGGTCTTCTGGCCACAGGGTGGGGAGACGGAGGCACTCACCTGAGGGGCCTTGCAACCCGGGGGGGCCTTGAGGCCCAGGGGGACCAGGAGGGCCAGGGGGTCCCATGACTGTTGTCCCAGGAATGCCAGGGATTCCGGGGATTCCTGGAGGTCCTTGGGGGCCTGGAGGCCCAGGGGGGCCTGGGGGACCATTTGGCCCAGGAGGTCCAGCCTTTTTTCCTGAGAAAACAAAACGAAACCAAGATTCAACATCAGACCATCAGACCATCTTCAGGGGTCCCACAGAGCAAACTTGGTTGACGTTTTCTCCTCCCTCCCCGCCCCCCCATCCCAGGCCCAGAATCTGTTCCTTCTGCTCTGAGAGCCTCAGGTTCCTATGAGGCATGGAAGGGGAGAGCTCTTAATCCAATGACTCCATGAATTGACAGACTTATGAGCTCTGGGGCTTTCCCTCCTCCGCTCCTCCCCCCTCCCCCTCTACCCAAGTCCCTGGAGGCTAACCAGAGGTGGCCTTAGAAGAGGCTGCCCTCCTCGGGCCTTTGCCGCTTCTTGGGGGCTTAGGAGAGGCAGGCAGCAACGAGTGATGACACAGAAATTCCCACAAGGCTTGACTAACGGGGAAAGGGGTCCATGTGGCTGAGGCAGGCCAGGGGTCTCAAATGAAACAAGGACCAGGAAGGGGCTTGATGAAGTATGACAGGTGGGAAGCTAGCCAGGGAGGCTGCTGCACTGGGGGGGGGGTGGCCCCTCCCTGCCTGCCTGCTGTCTGCCCTTCACGCTTCTCAGGCAGGCTTGGCAGTGGCACCAGAGGGTCAGCCACCCTTTGTAGGCCTGAAAATCCTAAGGCAGCCTGGGGGAGCCAGCTTCCCCTCAAGTCCCCTCTACGTTCTGCCCCCTCAGTCAGCCCAGCACAAGCCTTCAGCTCTATGAACAACTATCCCAGGCTATTCTGACCTGTTGGCTCTGCTCGTGCCCCACACGAGGCTCATCTGAAGGAGTGAGGTGCCCAGCTTGGGTGGCGCATGGCCATTGTCTCCAGTATTGACAGGGCTGACCTAGGGAGGAGGGCAGAGCCAGAGCAGCAGTTGTGGGGGGCATGGGGGGAGGGGAAGCTGCAGAAACAAAGCTATAACCTTCCTAGACAGGAGAGTAGCCTGACTGGGCCCCTCCCCTCGAGGTTTGCTCTGCCTTTGGGCAGATGGGCGGGGCCCGGAGCTTCTGGGGCTCTCCTTGGAGGCAGGGGGTTTGGCCAGCAGCGTTTGGCATCGCAGCAGGAAGGCCATGCCACAGAAAAGCAGCCACCCTGGGCCTCACAGGCCCTCACGCAGAGCTGATGACCTGAGGAGGCTTTAGCAGAGAGGTCAGTGCGCTGGCTTTGGAGCCGAGAACCCAGTTTGGGAGCCCAGCTCTCTTTAGAGCTGGGGGACCTTGGGCAAGTTGATTTGTTTCCCTCAGCCTCAGTTTCTTCATCTGTAAAACAAGTGGACTAGATGAACTCCATAGTCCCTTCCATCTCCCAAACCCTATAGGCCTTGAGAGCTACTGGGGTGTTGGAGGGATTTCAATGGGTGGAAATGAGAGATGGGGACCAACTTGAACAAAGTTTCCAAGATGGCGGTGCCCAGAGGGCTGGTGAAGAGGGTCCAGACTCAGTGGGCAGTGGGAGGCAAGAGAAGAAGGACACTCAGCTGCTGGCAGGTCAAAGACAACTGAGGATTGGAACTGTGGCAACGTTTGGGACGTCCGATGGGAAAAGCATTAAGTTTCTGGTTTGGATGACTTCTAAATTTGGGAAAACTCCAGGACCAATCAACTGCCAAGTCTCGACAATCCTACTTTTACAACATCTCTCACATCCATCCCTTTCTCACTACTTGTAGGGCTACCAGCCTAGCTCAGGCCTTCATAAAGTGGGAAGTAGTGAGAAGGGCCTTGGAGACAGCTAGGGCCCCTCTGGGGCCCTCTTATCCCATCCCGTTGTCAGTGCCAGAGAAGAATGTCTGGTGCGGTGCCAATGGGGATGGGAGATATTTGTAAGACCAGAACAAAGGCGTCAGCCTTTAACTGGATCAGCAAGTTGACCTTGGCCAGGCTGCTCCTCCTGGGCATTCCCTCTACTTGGAAAAGAAGGATCAGGCCTGTTCTGCTTGGCCTCAGTGGGCAGAGAACTAGGGTTAGGTGGGGGAAGTTATAGAAGAGCAGATTCAGACACGTGATCAGTGGGACCTGTCCCAAAGTGGCACAGGATATCATGGGAGGTGGCGGGCTTGCCATCACTGAAGGTCGTCGAGCAGAGTCTGGACAAACAGCGCTTGGGATCATTGCGCAGATTCTGAGTTTCTAGGATGAGATAACCTTCGAAGGTCTCTCTTAGGACTAAGGAGAAGAGGGAAAGTTTGTGAGGCCAAGAACAAGGGGCATATGTGGAGCTCAGTTAGGAGCTCCAGGCAGCCCTATTTCCTGACTGTAGGAAGAGGGAAAACCCCTGAGAAGAGTGAAGAGCAAATGGGCAGCAAGGGAACGGACTCTGCCTCACCTCCCCTTGGGCCTTGCCTCGAGTGGGCTCTCATCAGGAAATCATTCAGCTTCTCTCCACTTGAGAGCAGATTTTCAGAAAGGCCCTTGGGTTTCTCATGAGTTAGTCTAGTTTAATGATACAAGTGCAGGGACTGAAATGCAGTACGTGCTTGTGAATGCTCACTGACTGACTGACGGAATCTCTACCACGATGGGCTGCATATCAGTTGCCGTGGAGGATGGCCAAGCCAAGGAGGCCACACTGGGAAACTCTACTTATTAAGTGTTTGTCAGAAGAAAGTCATTCAACCACACACACCAAAAAGAAAAGCAAATGAGGTGACCTTACCCTTTTTCTTGTTTTTGACTGGACCTGCAAAGAGAGGAAAAAAGAAATTAAAAATCCTTGATGTTCCCAGGGGAGGGTCAAGGCTTCAAGGCCAAGAGTCACTCAGCAGACAGTCTTTCCCTTGATCCTTCTGCCCACCTGGGAGGGAGGAGAGGGCTACATGGGAGGGGGGACTCCCTCTCTCTGCAGCTCTGGATACTCTCTCTTCCCTTAGCTTCTCTCTCCTGCTTCTGCCTCTGATTGCTCCTCCTCAACTTCCTTTGTCAGATCATTGCCCACCAATGGTCAGTGTCCCCATTCCCCTCACCCTAAGTTGCTGCTGTTTCAAGCGCTAGTGGCTTCCTTAGAATCTCATCTGCTACCCAGTTCTTAGTTACCATCTCCCAAGTCTATACACACAGGCTTCATCTCTCTCCTGAACTCCATGACCTGCTGGACAGCTCCACCTGGACACCAGACAACATCTCAAAGTCAATACGTCCAAAAGGGAATTCATTATCTTTCCCTCAGACCCTTCCTTCCAAACTTCCCTATAGCTGTTGAAGATGCTACCACAGTCCCAGAAAGTCAGGTTCCAAATATCCTTGAATCTTCTATCTCTCGTCCAATCAGGCACCAAATCTCGTCCAGTTGACTTCTATGGCATTCCTTCACATCCAAGTGCCCTCCCCCCATCTCTCCACTCCCATCCCAGCGCAGGGACTCATTAGCTCCTGCCTGAAACCACTGCCTGCCCCCAGGTGCTCCCTTCTCTAATGCAGCCTTCCTAAAACCAAATTCTTTGTTAAAAACAAAAAACAAACTTTAAAAAAATTAGATTTTATTTTGAACTTAACCTCAACATTTCAATATACAAAGAACAGAAAATAGGGTTGTATATGTACATGTGACCTTCTGTTATACAGTTTGTTTTTCAAGTGTATTTTATATTGAACAGCACTATATTTACCACAGCCCCACTTGTCTGTATCCCCTTCTGAACTTCCTTCTCTCTTCTGTGCAGTGCGTGTGTGTATCTGTTTTGTGTTTATTGGGGATGCCATCGGCTACAAGAGTCAAATCTAGCTGCCATTTGCCTATGGAATCAAAGGAAGCTGCACCGATGGAGGGGTGGCTTCCCCAAGCTTGGGTTCCCTCCTCCAAAGCCTTTGGGCCCAAACATGGCTGCCTAGCAAGAGTGGGTACAGTAGGGCTTCTGCATTTCAGGCCAAGGTGATGCCAGTCCTTCCCCAGGGGTGTGGGCGTAATGGCAAGCTTGAGAAAGGAGTGTGGAGGCACTGTGTATCTTCCAGTGTGTCAGGTATCCTTTTTGGTCTTTTCTTTTGGATGTCATTAACACACTCATCGACTCTCTCCACTCTCTCCCCACCACAGTCCATTCTCCATTCAGCTGTCAGTGTCTTCCTCAAGTGTCACCCCCTTATTCAGTAAACTCTGGTGACTTCTCAGCAGCTCTAGGATCAAATCGAAAATGTTCTGGCATTTTCAACCCTTCCCAGCATTCCCAGGCTCCTTACACCCACACCATGCCCTCTTTGATCCAGTGACACTGGCTTCCTTGTTCCATCTCCAGACTCTGGGCATTTTCAGTGGAAGTCTCTGCCTTCTGGCTTCCTTCAAGTCCCAGCTAGAACCCTGCCTTCTCCAGGAAGCCTTTCCTGATTCCCCCTTAATCCTCATGCTGTCCCTGTGGTGATCGTCTGCAATTTGTCTTCCCCGTAGCTTGTCTGGACGCAGTTGATCGCATCTGCCCTTCATGACAAGCTGGCATTGTAGGCAATGAAGGTACTGGGACGCCCATTTGGAGCTGGACAAGGTAGGGCACTTGCTTAAAGTCAAGGCTCAAGGCCAGGCCCCTGCTGACTTTGAGCCCAGGCTGCCACCCACTTCGGCGCTGGAAAGAGGATTGTTGTCCACAGGGCAAAGGGAGGGCAGCAGCAGTTCGTTTTGCCCATCATGCTTTAATTTGATGGTTATTATAAGAGGATGGATGATGGTAATCCATCCATGTGGGGAACACATGCCCGCCTAGGGTAATTTAGCATAAGTGAATGGGCGCTTAAAAAGTGAAGTCACAGACAATTTCGTGGAAATAACTTCTAAGGAAAATGATCCCACTTCAGGGAACTCAGGCGATCCAAGCCTTTTTTTAGAATAGTCCCAACCTCAGTGCCACAGAGTCCTTTGTGGGAGGGGCACAGAGGTCAGAGGGCAAGGTCAAAAGGGTGCCAGGCCTGGGTGGGTGACCTCCAGCCAGTCACTGGACTCCAGGGGACCTTGCTTTCCTCATGGATTTGTTGTGAGGAATGAGATAATGTTTGCAAAGTGATTTTCCAGAGCTGGATGGATGCCTTCTAGTTTTTCTCTCACAGCCATTCCCAATGTCCCCCATGCCTCCAATGACCTCTTCCTTGTTACAAACTGATCGAAGGAGCACAAATGACAGTGCACCTGGGACTCTCCCTTTGTCTGCTACGGTTCATCACCCGTTCTCTGGGATCAAGACTGGTCACTGTATTTAACCTATTTTGATGTGGCTGTTGTCATGTCTACTGGCCTCACTGGTTCCTGGAGGTAGGAAGACCCGAGTTCAAATGTGACCTCAGATACTTAGTAGCTGTATGACTTTGGCCAGGTTGCTTAATTTTCATTTGCCTCAGTTTCCTCATCTGTAAAATGGGGACCATAATAGCATCTACCTATGAAAGGGTGTTGGGATGATCAAGTGAGATCATATTTGTAAAGCATTTAGAACAGTGCATGACTCATAGTTGGAAATACAAGGATACACACGCACACACTCACACTCACACACACACACACCCACACACCCACACACCCACACACACACACACACACACGTTTCCGTTCCCTCCCCTTCTGCTCATTTCAGGCTGCATCAGATCAGACAAGGCTTCCCAAGTGTCTCTGAACTTCTCAAATGTTTTGTTTCTTGTAAAGCAATAATATTCCATCACCTTCATGCAAGGGCATAGCTTGGCCCCTCCCCTGGCAAGCGGCACCCCCTTTATTCCCTCCCCCTTTTTCTGCTCCCACAAACAGCGCTGCTGGGAATCTTTCGAGTTTCATCTGGTCTTTCTTTTGCCTTTGACCTCCTTGGGGTATATGCCCCTCAAGGACACCATGGGGTGATGAAAGTGGTCTCCATGGTTGGGTGACTCTGGGCCCAGGGCTCTACCCATGCGCCACCAGCTGAAAACCTTGAGCATGCTTAGCTGCCTCTCCGAGAGTAGCTCTGTGACCTCTGTGGTCACTGTCAGCTCAAACTTCTCAGCTCCCAGCTCTGGCATGTTCTCCCAAGTGCTGAACAGTGAGTTCACAGGGGCCTCAGTGCACCTGAGGGTACTGCTTTCCTTTCCTATTAGCAATGGGGGGCATCTCAGTGCCATACCCTCAGACAAGGGCCTCAGCAGCCACCAGAGGTGACCACTCCTCATAATCTGATCAGCTTCCTTCCAGCCACTCAGGGACAGGCACAGCCTAGGGGGGCTTCCTTGATGATCTCTCAGCCTTCTGAAGCCTAAGTCTTGGCCAAGGCTCTTTTCCAGCCAACCGGGAGAAGGGCTCCCTGTCCACCCCTCTCCCACCCCCATCCTGACTAGTTCTGGGTGATGGTGGGGCCCAAACTGGTTGTACAGGCGCGGTGCCCCTCACGGAAGGGATCTGTTTTCCTGCTTGTTCCGAAAGCTGTAAGAGAAAGACTTGGCAAAGATATGGCTCCTATGAGTGCTTTGGCCTGTCAGCTGTGCAAACCTGGCCCCAACACCAGTAGGTCATTGCGGTGTTTGTGGGCACAGTCCTCCAAAGTCCTAGAGTTCTTTCTCTTCTGCCATGGCCCCCGCTCTCACTCATCCCAGAAGTAACTATTTAGCTTCCCCTTGGACTCTCAGGAGAGCAGAGTGCCATGACAGGCAAAGCACTGGCCTCCAGCTTGGGAGCTGAAGGTTCAGGTCTCTGCCAGTCACTGACCAGCTAAGTGACCTTGGACAAACCACTTACCCTCAGTTTCATCACCTTTTAAAGGGGAATAACAGTACTTGCACTACCCACCTCAAAGGCTTATGGAGGAGACCCAATGAGCATTTGGGGGCACTGCTCATATGCAAATGTTTGTTGAGTGAATAAATGAGGTGAAGGCTACTGCTCTGGGCATAGCAAAGACTGAGCAATCACGCCTTGGCCCTTGGGATAGCCAAGTTGTCAGGAGGGAGGGAAGGAAGGGATTAGGGTGGAGGGCGTGGCTAGCAGGTGCTGGAGGTGCTAGAATGGGCTGAACTGGCCTTTTTCAAAGGCCCCACAGGGAACCCTCCGTGTTTGTTCAATCTCCAAACCTGCTCTATCTCAACCCTCTGTAAACTGTAACCGAGGAAGTGGGTAGTGAGCCTAGGGATCTGGGCAGGATGGAGCCCCATTGACTCAAAGAGCAGGGGAATGCAAACCACATGAGATGCCCACGTTCGTGGCCCTGTGCCAATACCCACAGCTATTCCAGATGAGACCAGAAAGAACCGGGTGTGATAAGCTTTTTACACAGGCACCAAAATACTGGGGACATGGGAAGCGGCAGGGGTTCTGTGGCCTCCCAGAGATGCCGTAGCAAAGGCTGGTTCCTGGTGCTGGCAGCCTGGGCCAATTCTTGACAGACTCAGGGCCAAGTTGCTGCCCCACTTCCAGGGCACTGGCTAGTCAATGGGGCCCATTTTCTGCCTCTAGATCTGTCTGCTAATGAAAGCCCACTTGGAGGCCAAGACCTATTTTATTTTATTTTTATTATTTTTATTTTTGTGAGGCAATTGTGGTTAAGTGACTTGTCCAGAGTCACATACCTAGTGAGTGTTACGTGTCTCAGGCCGGATTTGAACTCAGGTCCTCCTGACTCCAGGGCTGGTTGCTCTATCCACTGCGCCACCTAGCTGCCCCTGAGACATGTTTTACGAGTGTCAGTCATGACATGCTGCCTTTAGGCCTCCTTGATGCAGACAGTCACCCTCACTTTGTGGCTC